GGACAAGGCACGCTCCTAGACCAGGCACATTCCTGGACCAGGCACGCTCCTGGACAAGGCACGCTCCTAGACCAGGCAAGCTCTTGGACCAGGCAAGCTCCTGGACCAGGCAAGCTCCTGAACAGGCAAGCTCCTGGACCAGGCAAGCTCCTGGACCAGACAAGCTCCTGGACCAGGCAAGCTCCTGGACCAGGCACACTCCGGGATCAGGCAAGCTCCTAGACCAGGCAAGCTCCTGGACCAGGCAAGCTCCTGGACCAGGCAAGCTCGTTGACCAAGCACGCTCCTGGACCAGGCAAGCTCCTGGACCAGGCAAGCTCCTGGACCAGGCAAGCTTCTGGACCAGGCAAGCTCCTGGACCAGGCAAGCTCCTGGACCAGGCAAGCTCCTGGACCAGGCAAGCTCTTTGACCATGCACACTCCTGGACCAGGCACGCTCTTAGACCAGGCAAGCTCCTGGATCAGGCAAGCTCCTTCACCAGGCAAGCTCCTGGACCAGGCAAGCTCCTAGACGAGGCACGCTCCTGAACCAGACACGCTCCTGGACCAGGCAAGCTCCTGGACCAGGCAAGCTCCTGGACCAGGCACGCTCCTGGAACATGCAAGCTCCTGGACCAGGCAAGCTCCTGGACCAGGCAAGCTCCAGGAACAGGCAAGCTCTTGGACCAGGCACGCTCCTGGACCAGGCAAGCTCTTGGACCACGCAGGCTCCTGGACCAAGCAAGCTCCTGGACCAGGCACATTCCTGGACCAGGCACGCTCCTGGACAAGGCACGCTCCTAGACCAGGCAAGCTCCTGGACCAGGCAAGCTCCTGGACCAGGCAAGCTCTTGAACAGGCAAGCTCCTGGACCAGGCAAGCTCCTGGACCAGGCAAGCTCCTGGACCAGGCAAGCTCCTGGACCAGGCAAGCTCCTGGACCAGGCACGCTCCGGGATCAGGCAAGCTGCTAGACCAGGCAAGCTCCTGGACCAGGCAAGCTCCTGGACCAGGCAAGCTCGTTGACCAAGCACGCTCCTGGACCAGGCAAGCTCCTGGACCAGGCAAGCTCCTGGACCAGGCAAGCTTCTGGACCAGGCAAGCTCCTGGACCAGGCAAGCTCCTGGACCAGGCAAGCTCCTGGACCAGGCAAGCTCTTTGACCATGCACATTCCTGGACCAGGCACGCTCTTAGACCAGGCAAGCTCCTGGACCAGGCAAGCTCCTTCACCAGGCAAGCTCCTGGACCAGGCAAGCTCCTAGACGAGGCACGCTCCTGAACCAGGCACGCTCCTGGACCAGGCAAGCTCCTGGACCAGGCAAGCTCCTGGACCAGGCACGCTCCTGGAACATGCAAGCTCCTGGACCAGGCAAGCTCCTGGACCAGGCAAGCTCTTGTACCAGGAAAGCTCCTCATTCGCGAGCGCCGATGACCGATGATGCTTGCAACCCATCCACGCCCTTGCTGGCTTGGCAATAGGCCCAGACAAGCGCAGCCACGTGACCCGGTAGAAGAAAAACGCTTTGAAGGAGCGCTTCCACCCCCAAAACGGGGAAGGATCCGCACATGTGTAAGAAGTGCAGCGGGCGCTCTTCATCCGCGAGCGCCGGTGATCGATGATGCTCGCAACCCTCCCATGCCCTTGCTGACTTCGCAATAGGCCCAGACAAGCGCAGCCAGGTGACCCGATGGAAGAAAAACGCACAAAACGAGCGCTTACAATTACCATTAGCATTACCATTACCATTAGCATTACCATTACCATAAGCATTACCATTACCATTACCATTACCATTAACATTACCATTACAATTTGCATTACCATTACCATTACCATTACCAGTACCATTATCATTAGCATAACCATAAGCCATATGCATTACCATTACCACTACCATTAGCATTAGCATTACCATTACCATTACCATTAGCATTACCATTAGCATTACCATTACCATTACCATTACCATTAGCATTACCATTATCATTAACATTACCATTACCATTAGCATTAGCATTACCATTACCATTACCATTACAATTAGCATCAACATTACTATTACCGTTACCATTACCATTACCATTATCATAAGCATTACCATTACCATTACCATTACCATTACCATTACCATTACAATTAGCATTAACATTACCATTATCATTATCATTACCATTAGCATTACCATTACCATTACTAAAAGCATTTCCATTACCATTACTATTACCATTACCATTACCATTATGATTAGCATTTGCATTACCAATACCATTAGCATTAGCATTACCATTAGCATTACCATTACCAGTACCGTTACCATTACCATTACCATTAGTATTACCATTACCATTACAATTACCAATACCATTACTATTACCATTAGCATTACCATTACCATTACCATTACCATTACCATTACCATTAGCATTACCATTACCATTACCATTACCATTACAATATCCATTACCATTAACATTACTATTACCATTACCATTGGCATTACCATTACCATTAACATTAGCATTACCATTACCATAAACATTAGCATTACCATTACCGTTTCCGTTACCATTAGCATTACCATTGGCATTACCATTACCATTTGCATTACCATCACCATTACCATTAGCATTAGCATTTCCATTACCATTACCATTACCATTACCATTAGCATTACCATTAGCATTACCATTACCATTACCATTTACCATTACCATTACCATTAGCATTACCATTACCATTAACATTACGATTACCTTTACTATTAGTATTACCATTACCATTACGATTACGATTACGATTACCATTACGATTACCATTACCATTAGCATTTCCATTACCATTATCATTACCATTACCATTACCATTAGCATTCCTATTACCATTACCATTAGCATTACCATTACCATTACCATTACCATTACCATTAGCATTACCATTAGTATTACCATTACCATTACAATTACCATTACCATTAGCATTAGCATTACTATTACCATTACCATTAGCATTACCATTATCATTACCATTACCATTACCATTACCATTACCATTTCCATTACCATTACCATTACCATTAGCATTACCAGTACCATTTGCATTAGCATTAGCATTACCATTACTATTACCATTTCCATTACCATTACCATTAGCATTACCATTACCATTAGCATTACCATTAGCATTACCATTACCATTAACATTACCATTAATGTTTCCATTACCATTAGCATTACCATTACCATTACCATTACCATTAACATTACAATTACCATTACCATTAACATTACCATTTCCATTATCATTAGCATTACCATTTCCATTAGCATTACCATTACAATTAGCATTACCATTACCATAAGCATTACCATTACCATTACCATTACAATTACCATTACCATTACCATTAGCGTTACCATTACTATTACCATTACCATTAGCGTTCCCATTACTATTACCATTACCATTAGCGTTACCATTATCATTACCATTATCATTAGCATAACCATAAACCATAAGCATTTCCATTACCACTACCATTAGCATTAGCATTACCATTACCATTAGCATTACCATTAGCATTACCATTACCATTACCATTAGCATTACCATTACCATTATCATTACCATTACCATTACCATTAGCATTACCATTACCGTTAGCATCACTATTAGCATTAACATTACCATTACCGTTACGATTGCCATTACCATTGTCATAAGCATTACCCTTACCATTACCATTACCATTAGCATTACCATTACCATTACAATCATCATTACCATTACCATTTGTCAAAACATATGCATAATTGTATCTAGGCTATATTGGGGCTAGCCTTAGGGGGTACAGAAATAGTCTCGACACTCTATTCTTGTACCCCAATCTTGACCTAATCTCACCCATTCTCGTTCCCTAGCTAGTGATTCTAACATGGTATCAGAGCACAGTGCTCCTTAGGACCGATTTTTTAAAAGGGCCCACCACTAATATTTCGATCTACTGCCCGAGTCGCGCCCCTAGGAGAAATGCGAAATTCGAAACCGTGCTCTAGGCGAGACGATTCCCTAGACGCGATTTTCCCTCCTAGTCACGTGCGACCCCCCCCTGACCGCGCCCTAGCTGCCAGTATAGCCCGCGTAGGCCCGTCGCAACCCGTACAGCCCGCGTAGGCCCGTCGCGAAGCCCGTACAGCCCGCGTAGGCCCGTCGCGAAGCCCGTACAGCCCGCACCAGGCCGTCGCGCAGCCCGTACAGCCCGCGCCAGGCCGTCGCGCAGCCCGTACAGCTCACGTCAGGCCCGCACCCAGCGCGTAAAGCCCGCGCCAGGCCCGCACGCGGCCCGTGTTACTGCTACTCACTGCTGCTGCTACTGAAGCTACTATTGACTGAAACTACTCCAGCTACAGCTAGTGCTACTGCTGCAGCTCCTACTACTGCACTTGCTACAGCTAGTGCTACTGCTGCAGCTCCTACTCCAGCGCTTACTGCAGCTGCTCCTGATTGAAGCTACTGCTGCTACAGCCCCTGAAGCAGTCGCCCCTGGTGCAGCCGCCCCTGGACCCTCGAGCAGCCGCCCTTGGACCCAGAGCAGCCGCCCCTGGCCCCTAAAGCAGCCGCCCCTGGTGCAGCCGCCCCTGGACCCAGAGCAGTCGCCCCCAGCCCCTGAAGCAGCCGCCCCTGGTGCAGCCGCTTTGCACGCCCTCGCGTGCCCCTAGCGTATCGGCCCCGCCCCACTAGCCCGCCCTTGCTGGCCCCGTGCGACCAGGCCCCGCCCTAGCTAGCTCGCCACCTCGTGCCCTGTGCGGACCGCCCCGCTCTGCCCTGCACGCCCTCGCGTGCCCCACCTCGAGTAGCCGCTGCCTAGCCGAGCCGAGCCTCCCCACCGAACCGCGTCACCCGGCCCGAGCCGCGCCGCCCTACCGAGCCGCGCCTCCTACCGAGCTGCGCCCCTGATTCTGTCACTGCTACTGTCACTACTGCTGTTTCTGCTACTACTACTGCTACTGCTCCTACTGTCACTATGGCTAGCCCTCCTGTACTAGCTTTCGATGCTGAGGGCCGCCCAGTGAAGTTTGACACCTGGCTCGATGACCTGCACCTATTCCTACAGCTCACTGCCAAGGAAGACATCTCATTGTACGATCACGCCTTAGGCCATGCCACTGCCCCTGCTGCTACTGCTGACAGCACTACCCGCTCACAGTGGCAGACTCGTGACGCCCACGCTCGCTTTGCTATTCGCAACTCCCTGCCGATAGATGAGCGCGAGCACTTTTGCCAGCACAAGACTGCACAGGCACTGTACACTGCTGTCATTGCCCGCTACTCCTCACCTGCCTCTGCCGCACTAGGCCGTCTCTCACTCCCCTACCTATTCCCCGACCTGTCCTCTTTCCACACAGTCGCTGACCTCATCACGCACCTCCGCACTAGTGAGGCCCGCTTCCGTGCCGCTATGCCCGATGAGTTTCTTGCCAAGAACCCCCCCCTGCTCTGGCTCACTCTCTACCACCTAGTCACCCGCCTCCCTGACACTCTGCGTGCAGTCAGGGACCACTTCCTAGCTCGCTGCCCCACTGAGCTCACCATTGCCCTCCTCGAGAAGGAACTACTTGCAGCTGAGGCTAGCATAGTCGCTGTAGGTGCCTCTCGTGGCGACCCCCGCACCCCTTTCTTTGAGGGGTGTTCCCCTTCCCCCCTTCTTCCCTCTGTAGCCTCTGCTGCTGCTGTCGACCTCCTTGGTGCTGAGAAGGTCGGGACTGCGTCCGCTCCGAGCTGGCGCCGCAGCGGCAAGGGCAAAGGGGGCAAGGGAGGCGGAGGTGACGGCGGGGGAGGCGGTGGTGGGGCGGTGGCGGCGGTGCGGGTGGTGGTGGGGCTGGAGGGACCAGTGGCAGCGGTGGGGGTGGTGGCGGCAGTGGCGGGGGAGGTGGCAGGGGCGGGGGCGGTGGTGGTGGCGGCGGTGGACGCGGAGGCGGCAGGGGCGGTGGTGGACGGGGTGGCAGCGGCGGAGGTGGTGGTCGTGGAGGCGCCGGCGATGGCCAGAGCCAGCAGCAGACTCCGTCGCCCCAGGAGCTTCGTGAGTGGTACTCTCAGCACGGAGGGGGGGGGGGGGTGGACTTAGCTGCACGTACGTCATCCGCACAGGTGACCGCACTGGCCAGACGTGATGGAAAGCGGTAGAATCGGGCTGGGTGATGGAAGGAGGGAGAATGGGGCGGGGTGATGGAAAGCGGGAGAATGGGGCGGGGTGATGGAAAGCGGGAGAATGGGTCAGGGTGATGGAAGGAGGGAGAATGGGGCGGGGTGATGGAAGGAGGGAGAATGTGGCGGGGTGATGGAAAGCGGGAGAACGGGGCGGGGTGATGGAAAGCGGGAGAATGGGGCGGGGTGATGGAAAGTGGGAGAATGGGGCAGGGTGATGGAATGCGGGAGAATGGGGGGGGGTGATGGAAGGAGGGAGAATGGGGCGGGGTGATGGAAAGCGGGAGAATGGAGCGGGTTGATGGAAAGAGGGAGAATGGGGCGGGGTGATGGAAAGCGGGAGAATGGGGCGGGGTGATGGAAAGCGGGAGAATGGGGCGGGGTGATGGAAGGAAGGAGAATGGGGCGGGGTGATGGAAAGCGGGAGAATGGGGCGGGATGATGGAAAGCGGGAGAATGGGGCGGGGTGATGGAAAGCGGGAGAATGGGGCGGGGTGATGGAAGGAGGGAGAATGGGGCGGGGTGATGGAAAGCTGGAGAATGGGGCGGGGTGATGGAAGGAGGAAGAATGGGGCGGGGTGATGGAAGGAGGGAGAATGGGGCGGGGTGATGGAAAGCGGGAGAATGGGGCGGGGTGATGGAAAGCGGGAGAATGGGGCGGGGTGATGGAAGGAGGAAGAATGGGGCGGGGTGATGGAAAGAGGGAGAATCGGGCGGGGTGATGGAAAGCGGGAGAATGGGGCGGGGTGATGGAAAGCGGGAGAATGGGGCGGGGTGATGGAAAGCATGAGAATGGGGCGGGGTGATGGAAAGCGGGAGTGTGGGGCGGGGTGATGGAAGGAGGGAGAATGGGGCGGGGTGATGGAAAGCGGGAGAATGGGGCGGGGTGATGGAAAGCGGGAGAATGGGGCGGGGTGATGGAAAGCGGGAGAATGGGGCGGGGTGATGGAAAGCGGGAGAATTGGGCGGGGTGATGGAAAGAGGGAGAATGGGGCGGGGTGATGGAAAGCGGGAGAATGGGGCGGGGTGATGGAAAGCGGGAGAACGGGGTGGGGTGATGGAAATCGGGAGAATGCGGCGGGGTGATGGAAAGTGGGAGAATGGGGCGGGGTGATGGAATGCGGGAGAATGGGGCGAAGTGATGGAAAGCGGGAGAATGGGGTGGGGTGATGGAAAGCGGGAGAATGGGGCGGGGTGATGGAAAGCGGGAGAATGGGGCGGGGTGATGGAAAGAGGGAGAATGGGGCGGGGTGATGGAAAGCGGGAGAATGGGGCGGGGTGATGGAAAGCGGGAGAATGGGTCGGGGTGATGGAAGGAGGGAGAATGGGGCGGGGTGATGGAAGGAGGGAGAATGGGGCGGGGTGATGGCAAGCGGGAGAATGGGGCGGGGTGATGGAAAGCGGGAGAATGGGGCGGGGTGATGGAAAGCGGGAGAGTTGTGCGGGGTGATGGAAAGCGGGAGAATGGGGCGGGGTGATGGAAAGCGGGAGAATGGGGCGGGGTGATGGAAATCGGGAGAATGCGGCGGGGTGATGGAAAGCGGGAGAATGGGGCGGGGTGATGGAAAGCGGGAGAATGGGGCAAAGTGATGGAAAGCGGGAGAATGGGGCGGGGTGATGGAAAGCGGGAGAATGGGGCGGGGTGATGGAAGGAGGGAGAATGGGGCGGGGTGATGGAAGAAGGAAGAATGGGGCGGGGTGATGGAAAGCGGGAGAATGGGGCGGGGTGATGGAAAGCGGGAGAATGGGGCGGGGTGATGGAAAGCGGGAGAATGGTGCGGGGTGATGGAAAGCGTTAGAATGGGGCGGGGTGATGGAAAGCGGGAGAATGGGGCGGGGTGATGGAAATTGGGAGAATGGGGCGGGGTGATGGAAAGCGGGAGAATGGGGCGGGGTGATGGAAAGCGGGAGAATGGGGCGGGGTGATGGAAAGCGTTAGAATGGGGCGGGGTGATGGAAAGCGGGAGAATGGGGCGGGCTGATGGAAAGCGGGAGAATGGGGCGGCGGGGTGATGGAAAGCGGGAGAATGGGGCGGGGTGATGGAAAGCGGGAGAATGGGGCGGGGTGTTGGAAAGCCGGAGAATGGGGCGCGATGATGGAAAGCGGGACAATGGGGCGGGGTGATGGAAAGCGGGAGAATGGGGCGGGGTGATGGAAGGAGGGAGAATGGGGCGGGGTGATGGAAGGAGGGAGAATGGGGTGGGGTGATGGAAAGCAGGAGAATGGGTCAGGGTGATGGAAAGCGGGAGAATGGGGCGGGGTGATGGAAAGCAGGAGAATGGGGCGGGGTGATGGAAAGCGGGAGAATGGGGCGGGGTGATGGAAAGCGGGAGAATGGGGCGGTTTGATGGAAAGCGGGAGAATGGGGCGGGGCGATGGACAGCGGGAAAATGGGGCGGGGTGATAGAAGGAGGGAGAATGGGGCGGGGTGATGGAAAGCGGGAGAATGGGGCGGGGTGATGGAAAGCGGGAGAATAGATGGAAAGCGGGAGAATGGGGCGGGGTGATGGAAGGAGGAAGAATGGGGCGAGGTGATGGAAAGTGGGAGAATGGGGCAGGATGATGGAATGCGGGAGAATGGGGTGGGGTGATGGAAAGCGGGAGAATGGGGCGGGGTGATGGAAAGCGGGAGAATGGGGCGGGGTGATGGAAAACGGGAGAATGGGGCGGGGTGATGGAAAGCGGGAGAATGGGGCGGACTGATCGAAAGCGGGAGAATGGGGCGGGGTGATGGAAAGCGGGAGAATGGGGCGGGGTGATATAAAGCGGGATAATGGGGCGGGGTGATGGAAGGAGGGAGAATGGGGCGGGGTGATAGAAGGAGGGAGAATGGGGCGGGGTGATGGAAAGCTGGAGAATGGGGCGGGGTGATGGAAAGCGGGAGAATGGGGCGGGGTGATGGAAAGCGGGAGAATGGGGCAGGGTGATGGAAAGCGGGAGAATGGGGAGGGGTGATGGAAGGAGGGAGAATGGGGAGGGGTGATGGAAGGAGGGAGAATGGGGCGGGGTGATGGAAAGCTGGAGAATGGGGCGGGGTGATGGAAAGCGGGAGAATAGGGCGGGGTGATGGAAAGCGGGAGAATGGGGCGGGGTGATGGAAAGCGGGAGAATGGGGCGGGGTGATGGAAAGCGGGAGAATGGGGCGGGGTGATGGAAAGCGGGAGAATGGGGCAGGGTGATGGAAAGCGGGAGAATGGGGCGGGGTGATGGAAAGCGGGAGAATGGGGCGGGGTGATGGAAAGCGGGAGAATGGGGCGGGGTGATGGAAAGCGGGAGAATGGGGCGGGGTGATGGAAAGCGGGAGAATGGGGCGGGGTGATGGAAAGCGGGAGAATGGGGCGGGGTGATGGAAAGCGGGAGAATGGGTCGGGGAAATGGATAGCGGGAGAATGTGGCGGGGTGATGGAGAGCGGGAGAATGGGGCGGGGTGATGGAAAGCGGGAGAATGGGGCGGGGTGATGGAAAGCGGGAGAATGGGGCGGGGTGATGGAAGGAGGAAGAATGGGGCGGGGTGATGGAAAGAGGGAGAATGGGGCGGGGTGATGGAAAGCGGGAGAATGGGGCCAGGTGATGGAAAGCGGGAGAATGGGGCGGGGTGATGGAAAGCATGAGAATGGGGCGGGGTGATGGAAAGCGGGAGAGTGGGGCGGGGTGATGGAAGGAGGGAGAATGGGGCGGGTTGATGGAAAGCGGGAGAATGGGGCGGGGTGATGGAAAGTGGGAGAATGAGGCGGGGTGATGGAAAGCGGGAGAATGGGGCGGGGTGATGGAAGGAGGGAGAATGGGGCGGGGTGATGGAAGAAGGAAGAATGGGGCGGGGTGATGGAAAGTGGGAGAATGGGGCGGGGTGATGGAAAGCGGGAGAATGGGGCGGGGTGATGGAAAGCGGGAGAATGGTGCGGGGTGATGGAAAGCGTTAGAATGGGGCGGGGTGATGGAAAGCGGGAGAATGGGGCGGGGTGATGGAAATTGGGAGAATGGGGCGGGGTGATGGAAAGCGGGAGAATGGGGCGGGGTGATGGAAAGCGGGAGAATGGGGCGGGGTGATGGAAAGCGTTAGAATGGGGCGGGGTGATGGAAAGCGGGAGAATGGGGCGGGCTGATGGAAAGCGGGAGAATGGGGCGGCGGGGTGATGGAAAGCGGGAGAATGGGGCGGGGTGATGGAAAGCGGGAGAATGGGGCGGGGTGATGGAAAGCCGGAGAATGGGGCGCGGTGATGGAAAGCGGGACAATGGGGCAGGGTGATGGAAAGCGGGAGAATGGGGCGGGGTGATGGAAGGAGGGAGAATGGGGCGGGGTGATGGAAGGAGGGAGAATGGGGTGGGGTGATGGAAAGCAGGAGAATGGGTCAGGGTGATGGAAAGCGGGAGAATGGGGCGGGGTGATGGAAAGCAGGAGAATGGGGCGGGGTGATGGAAAGCGGGAGAATGGGGCGGGGTGATGGAAAGCGGGAAAATGGGGCGGTTTGATGGAAAGCGGGAGAATGGGGCGGGGCGATGGACAGCGGGAGAATGGGGCGGGGTGATAGAAGGAGGGAGAATGGGGCGGGGTGATGGAAAGCGGGAGAATGGGGCGGGGTGATGGAAAGCGGGAGAATGGGGCGGGGTGATGGAAAGCGGGAGAATGGGGCGGGGTGATGGAAAACGGGAGAATGGGTTGGGGTGATCGAAAGCGGGAGAATGGGGCGGGGTGATGGAAGGAGGGAGAATGGGGCGAGGTGATGGAAAGTGGGAGAATGGGGCAGGATGATGGAATGCGGGAGAATGGGGTGGGGTGATGGAAAGCGGGAGAATGGGGCGGGGTGATGGAAAGCGGGAGAATGGGGCGGGGTGATGGAAAACGGGAGAATGGGGCGGGGTGATGGAAAGCGGGAGAATGGGGCGGACTGATGGAAAGCGGGAGAATGGGGCGGGGTGATGGAAAGCGGGAGAATGGGGCGGGGTGATATAAAGCGGGATAATGGGGCGGGGTGATGGAAGGAGGGAGAATGGGGCGGGGTGATAGAAGGAGGGAGAATGGGGCGGGGTGATGGAAAGCTGGAGAATGGGGCGGGGTGATGGAAAGCGGGAGAATGGGGCGGGGTGATGGAAAGCGGGAGAATGGGGCAGGGTGATGGAAAGCGGGAGAATGGGGAGGGGTGATGGAAGGAGGGAGAATGGGGAGGGGTGATGGAAGGAGGGAGAATGGGGCGGGGTGATGGAAAGCTGGAGAATGGGGCGGGGTGATGGAAAGCGGGAGAATAGGGCGGGGTGATGGAAAGCGGGAGAATGGGGCGGGGTGATGGAAAGCGGGAGAATGGGGCGGGGTGATGGAAAGTGGGAGAATGGGGCAGGGTGATGGAAAGCGGGAGAATGGGGCGGGGTGATGGAAAGCGGGAGAATGGGGCGGGGTGATGGAAAGCGGGAGAATGGGGCGGGGTGATGGAAAGCGGGAGAATGGGGCGGGGTGATGGAAAGCGGGAGAATGGGGCGGGGAAATGGATAGCGGGAGAATGTGGCGGGGTGATGGAGAGCGGGAGAATGGGGCGGGGTGATGGAAAGCGGGAGAATGGGGCGGGGTGATGGAAAGCGGGAGAATGGGGCGGGGTGATGGAAGGAGGAAGAATGGGGCGGGGTGATGGAAAGAGGGAGAATGGGGCGGGGTGATGGAAAGCGGGAGAATGGGGCCAGGTGATGGAAAGCGGGAGAATGGGGCGGGGTGATGGAAAGCATGAGAATGGGGCGGGGTGATGGAAAGCGGGAGAGTGGGGCGGGGTGATGGAAGGAGGGAGAATGGGGCGGGTTGATGGAAAGCGGGAGAATGGGGCGGGGTGATGGAAAGCGGGAGAATGGGGCGGGGTGATGGAAAGCGGGAGAATGGGGCGGGGTGATGGAAGGAGGATGAATGGGGCGGGGTGATGGAAAGAGGGAGAATGGGGCGGGGTGATGGAAAGCGGGAGAATGGGGCCAGGTGATGGAAAGCGGGAGAATGGGGCGGGGTGATGGAAAGCATGAGAATGGGGCGGGGTGATGGAAAGCGGGAGAGTGGGGCGGGGTGATGGAAGGAGGGAGAATGGGGCGGGTTGATGGAAAGCGGGAGAATGGGGCGGGGTGATGGAAAGCGGGAGAA